TTTTTTTACAGACACACTATTTGGGTGTGCATAATGCTAATGGGTCCTGGGATTCATATAAAATTACTTTCAGTTAATTTACTTGGATGTACCCAGTGGCAGATGAATTCTGAGTGTCTAGCGGACACACATTTTCTCAGTTGTCACCAAAAATATATACTGAAGGGGACAAATATCAAGAACAACTCATTATAATTTGATATAATCCTGAAAAAAGGAGTGCTAGAGCTTTAGTGGTGTTTAAAGTTTGGTAGGTAGCATAGCTAAAAAGCTCTCTAAAAACATTCCCCGCACCTAACTCAGAAGGTGGCCATTGTTTTATATGTCACTATTTTAACTAAAGATTTCTATTGCTGTAATGATATTCAAAAGGTCTCAGAGCCTAAATATAGAATTTTACTAATCTCCCAGTTAAAGAGTCCCTTTAAGAGAATTAAAATTCCAGTTCCCCCTTGTCTCTTCATCATTTCATTTTTGTGGAGGCTTCTATCTTATGTATGTACAATATTTCTGCTTTCATGTTTTAAATTCTCATTTTCTTACTGCTCAAGAGTTTTCAAATAATGTAACCTACTACTTGTTTCTTTTCTTAATCTTATTCTAGAAGATTAAAAAATGTGTGCAGTTTCAAAATTTTCCAAAATAAGGAAGAAATACTTCTTTTTTAAAAAAAAGTTAAATTAGAGAAGTTTCACTGCTCTACAACATCAGTTCCTAACTGTGTAATGTAAACCTAGCTAGTAGCACTTGTATATTGGTTGTTGTAATACCCCATTTTGACCCACCCGCAAAACCCACTCTGGATCCACCACTGATTTCCTGTGATTGCACAAGTCAATGCAGCAATAAAGCCACATTAAATACACAACATAAATACTACAGGAGGACTACAGCACAAAGGTTTATATAAATATATATGTATACTTTTTTTAAACATCCAACCATTGCAAATACTGGGCCCACTAAATAAAAGAACCATCAAACAAAAATAAATTAAATAAAAAAAAGCTTGCTGCTCTTACATCTAGTGTGCCAGTTACTGTGCAAATCCTGAGAAAGGGAGGAAAAACAAAGAGGTGGGGAAAGTTGACATAAAAACTGAAAAGTTTGGTTTACACAATTATAATAGTAATAGAAAAGAACCCACTAGTTTAAAAGCCTTACAGGAACAAAAAACTAATGGTGTTCAGGAGCTGTACAGTGCTGACACAAAGCTAACGACAGGAAAAATAAATAAAAGGAAGTTTGATTTTAATAATTACCACGCTCATGAGTGATGACTGAGGAAGGGAGGACAGGACATTTAGTTCAAAGAAAAGAAAATGGGGGGGAAAAAAGAAAAAAAAGTTGAGAATTTGTTTTTAGCAAATACAAGATATATTCAGTATTGTTTTTGGCAAATTAGTTCTGTAAAAAATATAAAGATCAAATTAAAAAAAAACCCAAAACAAAAAGCCCTAAAATGAGGAAGCATAAAAATATCTGACATAAGAAAAATCATTTAATGCAGTTAGCAAAGAGTTACTTATACTTGCATGCAAAATTTGTCATTCCTAGTAATATAAGCAGCTGATTTAAAAAAAAAGTCCATTTCAGAAGTTAACATTATGTACAATAATTTATAAATAGATATTAAAGGAAATTATGTCCAGAATGTCCAAACATTCTGGAAAAGAATTTGCAGTGAAACATGAAAGCAATGTTCAAGCTAGTCTATGCCTTATAAGTCAGAGCAAAATACTGCTCAAGCCACAGGTGTTGGCCCAAAGTTCACCTGTGGAAGTGCTCAAATGAGTCAAGCATGCAGGATTTAGTGAACTGTGGCAGCATTTTCAGAGAAAAAGTAATTATGATCTGTCTTAAAGGCATTCAATCAAATTAAACAATTCATGGTGTTGATTTGATGCAAGCACCAAATAACTTATAAATATGCTACGTAAAACAATTACAAGCACTGTAACCAATGAAAGGGGCAGTGCAACATGTACGAATTCGGAACTTCAAAATACAACAAGGGATAGGCAGTCAAGCTTTTTTTCCTTGTTTTTAAGAATAAAAACCATTGTAAAGGTTTATTTAACTGTGGGGTTTAAACAGAATACAAATGAAGATTATACTTGAGAATAGAGGGAGAAATGTGGTTTACTAGTTCTATTATTAAGGTAAAAAAGTAAACCTAATGGTTCCAGACAATCACACTAATAGGATGACAGAACCCACTGTGAGACAGAAGAAAGAACTTGACAATGAACTGACAACACTGAGGGTAATAAAGCCAAATTGGTTCAAAATCAAAACTAAACATAAAACACCATAATATTTCCCAAAAAGACAAACTGAACAGAATTACTTGTAAAGAAGAGACTTCCATAGAAACATCTTCCAAACGGCAGTTGCAATTCCTATAGCCTCTGATGTTTAATTTAGTGCTTACTAAATTATATATTTTTTATTCAAACCAGAGACAGGTTTACAAACCAGTGGGAACCTTTCATTTTATTTTATGCTAAAACTGGCTAGGGATTTCTGAAACCTTTAATGTAGGGCCTTGTTACATGTTAATTTTAAACAGTTTCTGCAGCTCATAACCCCTGGATTGTTCATAGATTAACACCTGAAATTAGCTTTAAGTACTCCTTTGGAGGCTTAAGTTTACGCCACTCAGCCTAAATTTATTTCTGATCTGTGTTATCCAGCTCATGTTATACTAATGTGTGGCCACCTACCTATCCTCCATCCCTGCTGGCCCAGATCAGATTTGTTGTCCCCTGCACAGCCCAGCACCCCAGTTCTCTGCTTGCTGCTCCTCTGCCCCCTCCCCCGCACCATTTTCACTTGCCGCTGCCCATGCTGTCTATCCCAGGGGAGCAGGCAGGGAAGGGTTAATCTGCCTGCCCGGCCACTGCTGCCCCTGCTCTCTGGGCTGGGCTCTGCTGAAAGAGCAGCAGCCTGGCAGTGGGGGCAAGGCAGGTAGGATAATCCTTCCTTGCCTGCTTCCCCAGGACAGACATCCTAGGCAGCCACAAGTATGTGGGGGGCAGGAGTGAACCCAGAGGGGCAGGGAGGGGGGCCAACCAGGGAAGACCCAAGGGGCAGGGCAGAAGCCTGCAATGGGGACATGGATTCTTACCTTTCAGTTCTCCAGACCCTTGCTGGCCTGAACATCTGACTGCTCCAAACTCAGGCTAGCACTAAAACTGATCAACATTTGAGCAGCTCACAGTATAACATGTAACAAGGCTCATAAATGAATGCTGCTGTTTGTTACTGGAATCTGCTTTCAATTTTACATGTAATTTCTTTCACTGCTTCAGAATTATATAAAGCATTCTTCTGGGATGCTCCCTTACTCTCAGACATGTAGTAGTGATTTTTTTTGGTGTTTAGCAAGACCTTACGTAGGCTAATTATCAGCTATCTGAAGGAATCATATCTTAACTTCAAACTCCGATATTTCAGTGTGGATTTACAAGGACCCTTATCTAAATAGCTTGCTTCAATAAGGAAGAGTGAAATGTGACAGATCCTTTTTGGTGAGATAATAATACCTGATCCCTCTTCTGTCACCATGCCGAGGCCCTCTGCTTTGTTCTGACGTTCAAAAGCATTTAAGTCAAGAACACTGTAACGATAAAAGGAAATGCAAATAAATATTTTGACACATTGATTTTTGAAACTATGAGACTGACAATTGGAAAGATAATTATCTTATTAGCTGAAGAACAGAGAACAGCTTAGATGATAAGTGAAACATGTAATGCCACTAGAGCTAGTCACATTTTTTTAAATAAAAGAATTACTTTACAATGCTGCATTTCTGGAGTAATTAAAGTAAGATCAATGACAAGACTTACACTAGAAATTATACATGAATTTGTCTCTAATGTTGACCATCTAGTTTGTTCTGTGTACTCCTTACCCATAAAGCCAGCAATTTCTAAGCCTATTAACTGGATGGTTTACATGCAGAAAGTTATAACAGTGTCAGTCATGGACTAAGACTTGGCTGTTTGTCAGATCAAGTCAAATATGAGAAGTAGACTGGCAAGAAGGGGCTTTGTTACTCTGACGAGTTCCAGGTACCACTATTATGTGGACCAATTTGGGGTCACCAGAGTGAACCTAGCCTTTCCTGAATTGATTTTCTTGAGTTTACACAGAATTAAAAGAATTGTAGGTGATGTATAAAATATATCCCACATTCATGCAATTAGAAACATATATCCCTTAGAACACAGACTCTGTAATCTTCTGGAGCAAAGGTAGTAGCATTTCTCACAGAGGCTTGGTCACAGAGGGCTCTGTGCGAGTAATGTCCCATAAACCAAGCATAAATATGATAACTAAATCCGTATTTGTCTACTTGAAGTTGTCACAGAAACATCTGCTGAGATAATCTGCCAGTATACTCGGAAAGTCTACAAGGTAGACTACCAATATTCTTATGCCCTTCCTTAGAAAAATGGCCTCTGTATCATGGATAAAATCTACTGCTTCTGCCCTTTCACATTAAGCACTGTAGTGTGTTGTACATAAATATTTGGATGCCTTGACCTCTGGTACTGGATTCCCCTGAGCTCCAGAATATTGAAATGGAGATAGGCCTCTTAATGTGACAACTGGCATTGTTTGGTAAACTTCTCATTATGAGTTCTCCACTCCTATTTCAAAGCATTAGTCACTACAGATATAGTAGAGAGCACTGAAAAGAATGGAACATTTTTGCACACCTGCTGCAAATACCTCTGCCGGAGGATTTCAAGACTTCTTCTGGGATTTGCATCTTCCACTTATATTGTGTACATCTCGATCCTAAGACACCTTCAGCCAGCCCTGCACACGGTATATTCCCATGGCTGAGAGCCTCATCAGATGATGGGACTCCCAGCCGCAGGAGCTTGCTACTTGCTGGTGCAGGGGGAAATCAGGATTGAGATCCCGGACTCCACTTGCACTAGCAATATGGCATGATGGGATCTGATGCTGGATCCAACAATTATGCCTCCTGCCATGCATGTATGGCATAGCCAGAAGCATGATTGTGGGGATCCCAAATTGGATGCCATTGTGCCTTTACTTACATATCTACCAGGTACCTTAGTGGCTTGGGACAGAAATTACACATAAACCAGAAGAAGTGATCAGTGACCAGTGCAAATTTGTAATACAACAGAAGTTCACTGCACATAAACCACTTTCAAAATGGCCAAAACTGGTTTAAGATGAACCTGAATAGATGCAGCATCAGATTTAACTGATTTAGGTTAAATTGCTTAACTGAGCTTCTGTCCCAGATCCCCTCCAGATTCAAGTCAACTCACAGTCCCCCAGCATCCCAGGATGCTTTGCACCCCCCCTCACTTTGCACCACACAGGGTGGCCAGTTTAACCTTGGCCCAAGCTGTCTGCTCCCGTGGAACAGGGAGGTGTGCTGTAGTATCCCCAGCTTCTGGTCTAGGCCACTGCAGGCATGTGGCTGCATTTCCGGATTCAAGAGTAAATGTCTGTTCCCTTGCTTATCAGTTCAATCTACACAGCCTAGATTATTCTGTGAGGATTGAATCAATTCAGCCTCAGGATTTTTGACTATCTCTACTTAGCCAGTGTGGCACACTTGCTCTCCTAAACAAACACAGCTATGAAACTTCAACTTTGGGACACAGTATGTGCAGTGCAGTGAGGACACCTCTCAGGATGCTGCTGCTTTGCACCATACAGACATATCGTTAGAATGTCTGTCATTCACGGATATGAGAGCCCCACATGATAAACAAAAACCTTGGGGATTTTTGATCAGCATGCGGTGATATTCTCAGATTAGGGTAAAAAAATTAACTAACCTCAACCTACCTAACATGCACACACCCTAACCAAAGTTAGTTACAAAGTGCTAACCCATCTGGAAGTCAGATGCCTCCTGCAAGCTAGCAGCTGGGACAATAAAAAGAAACTGAGGGCTGGAGAACAGAAATAGGAGGATAGCCCAAAGAAATTTAGTATCAGATTCAACCAATAGACACTGCAGGCTAAAGAGTTCAACTCTCCACATTTTGGGGCATATAGGTCAGCAATGAAACAAAGATAAGTACTTGAAGAACAAAAAAAAAGTCAATTTGATCTTTTTCATGGGAGTGGGGGGGTGGAGAAGAGGATTCTTTTTTGTTGGCCATCTCTACTGTCCAAGCTGCTTTACCTCAAACAGTAAGACCTTGAGGGAAATGTAGTACTCGTGGATTCTCTGAACCCCCAATGCTTATCTTCTGCAAAACAGAAGCTGAAAATGGGAGTCTATGATCTATCATGCTTATTTTTTTGGAAACATTTACTTCTGTGTGTTTCCACTTGTCAGTCTACAAGATCCTGAAAGCAATTGTCAAGGTACAGCTGCTTATTTCCAGTTCCATGACTTTCCCCAGGCAAGAAAAAAAATCTCCCAATGCAGCAAAACAAACAGCTTCATTCCTTTCTATGCCTTCAAAAACCCCATTAACCTCCTTCCTTATGCAGGTCTTCTTTGGAAACATGGATAAAAGACCTTTATATAGCATCTTGAAAGCAATCACATCTGCAACAAGTCATTGACTCATCACTGATAATGACTTACCATATATACTTGAAAAGAAGATGACCCTGTTTATAAGACAACCCCCCAATAATTAAAAATTCTCTATAGGGAAAAAATATCAATTTGTTATAATTGTCCTGGTACAGAATCTAAGTATTGAATATTTGCCTTGAATTTATTCCCCTCCTACTGCTACAGCAGGGAAAATAAATCTAAGGGGTCAAGTAGCCCTTTGCTCTCTGCTTCTCACCTTTCCCCTCTGCTTCATGTTGGATCCTGCTCTCCCTGAGCAAGTTGAATTGAGGAGCAAATTTGAAAACAATAACTGAAATTAAACATCGCTGTAGCAATTTTCATAAAGTACCCATGAACTTAATTTATCCAGAATTGATGCAAGGTACCTTTTTTTGAAACTGCTGCAAGTTTTAGCACAGGTAAACACGCTTTAGAGCAGTGCTTTGGTACCTACTTATATGTAGTACAAATTATGCATGATATTAATCCAAAGTCAAAGGCTCATGATTTACCACATGCTTCATTGGACTGGAGCCCACCAGAGTCAACAACATTTCAAGCCGTGGT